GGTGAGTAATAATGCTTAATGTGACGTCACTCATTTACCTATGTAGATTGTCCCTGTGGGTACTTTGAGTTACCATGCTAAGAGTCCGATGGCGGATCATAATATCAATCACCGTTTTGTCTGTTCCAGATTGTTTACAGACTGCCGTTATACAGCTGGACTATTGCTAACTGCGGCGATAAAACACACAGCATACTACCATTTGTATGTTCCTGTTAGATGCAGTGATTCAACCAGGTTTATAGAATACAGTGAATGTGTTGGATTTGTTCACACGGCGCTGAATTGTGTCTATTAGCTGTCGGAGGAAAGAGGAAAGTGACACAGGCTCTGGAAACTCAGCCTTGTGGGGACATGAGAGCACTGATCCGGTGCCGTACTTTGGCGATTCTACATATTCTACACAAATCACAAATTCTACGTGGTTCCTTTTCGAACCAAATATAAGAATAGGGATACTTAGTATTTGAAAATAGGAAATCATGTGGAGAGGCCTATTTGAAATAGGACTAAAATTCGAAGATGTATATATCAACAGAGTACCCAGACGAAACTTTTATCCGGTTAGTTCCTGGCCTGCCACGTGTGGAGATTGTGGATACAAAATGGTCCTCTTCAGCATGTCGTTAGAAAAGACAAAAATGGCAGTAAAGATCATCACCCTGTGTCATTTATCGTTGTCCTTTCCTGCAGTCACGGGATGGTCTGGTCTGACGATGAAGGTAAAATATTACTTACAGTGTTGTTGGTAAACTTTCATTCACTCATTCAAGCTTTATTCCTTTGTTTTCCGACAGTTTGGTGGGGAGGTATCGCACCTGAGTAAAACTCAGATCTTAATGAGATTGCATTAGGATAACGTAGAGAATTATCCACACTCAATAAGTCTGTCTATTGTCTTAGTTCGTCAGTAGCCCGGTCTTTAATCGGATTACAGTCTGGGTCGCGGCGACATTTAAATTATATTGAACTCTGATCTGTTCCGTGATATATCTCCTTTAGATCCGTAATATCTCCTTGATTTAACCATAACGTTACACAATGACAGGTATCAAATATATTTGAACTATGCTTTCCATATCATGTATGACCCAGATCTATGCTAAACCTGTGAGCTTGAACCGTTGGATGTAATTGATCCATCTTTCCCAGAAGTAATTGAAAGATTGCCTAATTGTATATTAGACATCATTATCAAATTTTACCGTCTTCTCACGGCCTCGAGTTCGATGCAAAGCACGCCGTAATGATGTTACTGTCGCCGTCCTTACCACACGTACTATGGCTGTATCTACTCCGTGTGTCAGATGCCTCAGTATCAGCATATTTCCGGAACAGCGTCCATGACCACATCCTCGTAACGGGTCATCTATTGTATTGATGCAATTATGTCGTGGTAGTTGAAACAGTTTGTCGTCGATGATGTCGTCATTTCGTTAAGTGAGGAAGTCGATCGCGATAGCCGTCGATAGTGTAATAGTCGTTATGTCGGGGAAGTGGGTTGCCGTGGTCATCGTCTGTGTAGTTGCTGCCGACATATAAACTGACGCACAATGAAAGTACACACCTGCAGTTTGGAGATTATTTTCCCAAAACAACTTAAATATTTTGTAAAGTGTTTAGAATAGGACATACAAGTCACAATCTTTAAGCACTTATCGTCAGTCGTTCTAATGTCACAATCAAAACATTAAAAAAAATATTTACGTTGCTTCCTTTTTTAAAATATCCCAAAGCACCAAAATCTGTACTTTCACTTCTACGTGAGTCTGTGGCTTTAGGGGATATGGTAGTTGGTGACGTACGTCGTCATGGAAGTTGTATGCCGGTGTAGACAGTCGTTGTCGTCGTTCCGTATGGTCGTGGCAGCCTGAGATGTTACTTCCTGGGGCCATGGCTTTATAGCAACCATTATTCTGTGTACTCGCAGCGTTGTTTTTGCTTTGCAGGAATGTCGTGCAGATCATCTTCTCTGTACTTTGGCGATAAGTTCAGTAATTTCTGGTCACAATATGAGGTCCCCGAACGCCTCGTCTCTGTGTCGATGCCATCACTTCTGTGACCTTTAGGACAGAAGTAGGATTATCGTCACCGTATCGGTTTCGTCCGGACTGTTCCCTTTGGGAAGTGGTAAGGTTATCGGCAATGCTCGGTGTTGGCACTGCTTAGCACTTCGGAAGGTAGTAAGATTATCGTCACCGTGTCGTTGTCGTCACGACTGTGTCCGTCGGGCCGGAGTAAGATTATCGTCACCGTGTCGTTGTCGTCACAACTGTTACTGTCGGGCCGGAGTAAGATTATCGTCACCGTGTCGTTGTCGTCACGACTGTGTCCGTCGGGCCGGAGTAAGATTATCGTCACCGTGTCGTTGTCGTCACAACTGTTACTGTCGGGCCGGAGTAAGATTATCGTCACCGTGTCGTTGTCGTCACGACTGTGTCCGTCGGGCCGGAGTAAGATTATCGTCACCGTGTCGTTGTCGTCACGACTGTGTCTGTCGGGCCGGAGTAAGATTATCGTCACCGTGTCGTTGTCGTCACAACTGTTACTGTGTCCGTACCGTGTCGTTGTCGTCACAACTGTTACTGTCGGGCCGGACACCGTGTCGTCCGTCGGGCCGGAGTAAGATTATCGTCACCGTGTCGTTGTCGTCACGACTGTGTCTGTCGGGCCGGAGTAAGATTATCGTCACTGTGTCGGTGTCGTCACTGCAATGTGCCCTTTTGTTGTACTACGGTTATGGTATTCACTAATGTATCCCCTTCATGTAGTGGTAATGTTATCGTCAGTGCGTCGGTGTCGTCACTGTTGTCTCCTTCGAGCAGTATTAAGATTATTGTCACTGTGTCGGTGATGTCACAGCATCACCCTTTAGACAGAAATACAACTATCGTCGCTATGTTTGTTGTTTAACGCTGCAGTTAGCAATATTCCAGCTATATGACGGCGATCTGTATCGAATCTGGATTAGACAATCCAGTGATCAACATCATGAACACAATGACATGTGACAACCAAGTCCGCGAGCCTGACCGAACGATCCCGTCGGAGCTATGTTGTTGCCACTCATGCTCATTACCATCATTACAGGGGCGGTGGGTAGCCTAATGGTTAAATCGTCAACTCGTCACGCCGAATACCCGGGTTTGATTCCCTACATGGATACAATGTGGGAAGCCCATTTCTGGTGTCCCCCGCCGTAATATTGCTGGAATATTGGTAAAGGCGGGGTAAAACTAAACTCACTACCATCATTACCTTCGGCAGCACTGGTCCCCATGTATGTCATTGGGACAGTCACTGTCTCACAGCCATGACGTCCTTACAACGTTACGTCGTCATTGTCCCTGCGTTCAATCACCGTCGACGTTATCAGCGTCGTCAGTCCCAAAACTGTAATTTGGAGAAGTTGCCATGATACCCATGTTGGACCTACAGATAATGCAAAACATGTGCATATGAACATAATTTAACGCCGCAATTAAAAGCGATCGTGCGTCACTCCGAAGGTCCTGGTTTGATTCCCCACATGGGTTCAATGCATCCAAACAAAGAACAATTACTGTCCTGATTTCATATTGTACAAGTGACTCGGGACTGGTCCGAACTGTTGTATATAATACCACTTTGACTGACAAACAATCGCTGTCTTTACGTATAGTCTGAAAGAATGGTTTGGGGTTTGTCTGTGAATGTCTAGTTGATCCAATCGAGATCAACTATTGGAGCTGATCGAGGCGTCGATGGAGACGTCTAAAGCAAGTTCACTTACATTCGGAATACACTTAGCAGACCTCGGTGTTCTTGTCCCGTAGAGACATAAACTTTGTGTCCGTGTAGTTGGTACCTTGACCCCCTTGAGAAAGATATCTTGTAAACAAGCATTAAATGACATATGATATATTTGTCCTTGTTGTTTAAAGATTCGCCAGCAATAACACAGCTCTGTGACGACAGACACTAAATAATTCAGTTTCGGCCAGTGGTTGATACTGTGAGCATCGGTGTTGGAAAATGCAACAAACGCGTCAGCCATCTTGACCCTCCGATCCGTTGACGAACGACAAAGGGGTGGTGAGGCGGTCTAATATGGTTATGCGGACGGTCGAGTTCGATTCCCACATGGTTTACAAACTGTGACGCCCATTTCCAGTGTCACCTGCGGTGATATTGCAGAAATATTGCTGAAGCCATACACATTCACTAACTCTTACAAGCATGGTTGTTGAAGATCAGTTCTGACCTGGATCTTCACGGGTGAATGACCTGTGACAAAGCTCTAGTTATTATGCAGGGTTTTTGTAAATATTGTTAAAATTGTTTGTTATATGCAAAACAAAATACGTCAGCATCTACTGATTATAAAATATGTTGCCTTTTCTCAACGTCGTTGTAACACTAATGCCGTATTCAACCATCCGCCGTTTGCACTTCGCATCACGAAATCATTCCACCATATAGCGTCTAATGTGATTATTGGATGGCCATAATGACGAACGAAAATGGACACATGAATTTAATGACCCCGTGAGAAGACCGGGTCCCCACTTCACTAAGGGGCCGTACCGCTACAATAGCAATTTAACACAGACGGCATTCTAACCATTTGAGTGTCTTTGTGAAACACAGCACTTGTCAAACATGAGATATCCATTCTCACCTGTCATTGTGGCCATCCAATACACATCATGTCTGATTCTGAAGGTCACTCCACCCTGGCGGCGTGGATTGTGTTTTCACGCTATCAACCACTTGTTTTACTTGATATCCAGCTCAGATCGCCTCCGTGGTGTTGCTGGGAGCTCCCGACGAAGCTGTATACCGCCATTTACGTAGAGGAGAGAAGGGCGATTACTTAAGATTCATGCATTTGAAGTACACGATACACATCACTTGAAAACAGCGGCACAAACTAAATATAATAACGACATTAAAAGTAACCGTTCATCATCATACACACAGTAAAATGAAAACCAAAAATAATTTTGAAAATAGCTCGTTTTAATAAACATTTCCACAGTGTAAATATAAATTATATAAATTAAAAGTATCACATGAACAGAAACGTATACCCATTTGAAACGAGGGAGCTCGCTACTGGAACTGAGGGAGTGTAAAAAACACATGGAATGTTACACAATGTTTACAAACATCGACTGTCGCCGAACACAACGGCTTTGGTGTGCAAACTAAACATTTGACATACAAATGACAAGATTAGGCTTTTTATGAATGTCGTATATTATTAAAATACTGCTGTATATACATATAAAATAATTCATATCACTAAATGCTGACTTCGTAGGTTTTGATTAGTACATGGCATAAGTCTCGTCACATCCCAGGTTTTCACGTAGAGCACCATTCAACACTGCAGGTCACCGTGACCTTACACGCAGTTCATCCTAGGATCGTGAAACGCAGGATGCTGCACTCCGCTGGAGGTGAATATGAAGATGTAGGGCAACTTCTTTGAGTGGATAGAGTTGAACTTTCCATGTTTAAGATGCGGGGGTACAGCTGGCTGGTATGCATATCAGGGAGCTGTCTGGACAACCTCAACTCTAGCCAGGCAATGGAGGGGAGGGGTGAAGACGGAGGGGGGAGACGCGGGGGGTGGAGGCTAACGTTTCTCCCTAGAGCTCAGCCAGTTTCAGACTATGTTTGTACATGGTCTTCTTTTTCTTCGCACGCGCGTTCTGGAACCACACTTGCGTTACCTTCTTACTAAGCCCAGCCAGTATGGCGATATTCTCCAGTTCCTTTGTGCTAGGGCTGTTGTTTTCCTGGAACAGCTTCGTCAACAGTGCTGTCTGTTCCTCCGTGAACACCGTCCGAGGACGTTTGGACTTGTCCCCGTCTATATCTCCTGGAGACGACGTTCCGTTGAAGGGAGACGAAACCACCTTTACACCACCCACATTGCCGTTAAACAGCTCTCTGATGTGCGTCTTGCATTTGAGTTTGTTTCCGTGAATTAAAAACTCCTCACCAGTAGCGAACTGATGTTGACAGAGATCACACGACAGACATTCCATATGGTAAACACATCCATGCGACCGGCGGACCCAATCATCCGGCATAACAGGTTCATGACATTTCTCACACGACGCCGCACACTCTCTGACGTAGTCATCACGGCAGTAGACGTCGTCGTTGTCGATGAAACACGACGTCTGCTCTGCTAGTGACGTCAAACAAACGCAGCACTGGAGACACTGCACGTGCCACGCATGCCCGCGCACTCGGAGGTAGATATGATCCACAATGTCGCCTCCGCAACGAAAGCAGGACAAAGCGTTGCTGCTGGTGTCGGACGTCGACGGGAGGCTGTCCATGCTGTCTTCACGGAAACCGTACTCGCAGTAGCGGTTGAAAGGGCTTGGAGTCAACAGTTCTATGTCTGTATCTGACATATTGATTTTGTGAAAATACGTCGGGAACTGTCAAAATACAGAAAGATTTCGGTAGCAAGCTGGCTACCCAACAGAAAGGACTGAGCGAAACACTGCCCCAGCCGCTCCCTTAAGTCAGGTCTTTCACACAAGCTCTCAGACTGAAGCTGACAATGGTCTTCTCTCTACTGGCTCGATCCCTCTCTGGCTTCTATTATCAATACGCTTGGAAAATCTCAATGTTGTTCTCTGGCAGAACACAGTAGGTTCGCAACTCACGTCGCAAGCCCACTACAGATTCCATCCAATCAGCGCCGAGTATCAATTATTCAGTGCGCTGTGATTGGTTGAAAGCGAGAAGAGCGCTGGACACAAAGAACCAGGTGAACCGTGTCCAAGGTCTGATCTAACCCTGCCTCGCTTTGTTCCAAGCCCAACACACTCTCCATACCCCGCTGCCGGCATTACAGCGCGTGCACTATAATGGGTTTCAGCGACAACGCCAGGTCAGACGCCGATCCCCCCCTACCCTCACCCCACGTGCACATCGGGGTAAGGGGTCTCTCACACAAGCGGAACTGTCAAAACATGTGCAGACTTTTAAACAAATGCCTGAAATATAAACACAACATTTTCAGCACAGCGTTCTTTGAAGATATGAACTCTTTCAGCGTTAGATTTTCTCGGGAAACACTGTATATATTGCGATACATCGTCGACGCTGTCTGCTTGAAACGGAACGCGTAAATCGATTGCCCGCATCTCGGCTAGCAAAGCTGCTTTGTCCCCCTTCCCCCTTCTTATTCCAGCACATGCCCCTCCCCGCGGGGAACGCATCGATTTTCATCTCCTATCCTCCTCCATCCTTTCCCCGTTCTCTCCAGTATCCAGCATATTCCAGGCTGAATATTTTATTCGTCCCTACTTTCATTTTCCTTTCTAAAATGCGACGCGTGCGAGATAAAAGAGGTCTGGCTTTCATTTCATGCACAATGTTACTGAATAAATCAAATGCATAATTGATTCATTATGTTGCTGTTATGCAATTATTGAAGGAATTCGCTGCCTTGAGTAATTCACCGAGCCCGCTCATTATGACATAATTATATTTGACAGTTTAGATTTGGGTCAATAATCACGGAAAATTAAGACGCTGGCTCATTTCCATGGACTGTTTGACTGATAATCCACATTTTAGCATCCTCCGTATTCTCAAATGGAACGAAACTGATACTCATTTTTATCCTTACAGTATAGATATAAACAATAAAAATTCACTATGTTTGTGAATGGAGCACATACACAAAATGTCGTTAAAGGACATCCATTCATCCATTCATTCATTCATCCAGTCATTCGTTCACTCATAACTCTGACCCGCTCACGATGTACAAATACAGTGTACAACATGTTCATGATTAATAGAACGCATTCATTGAAAATAACACGATACAGTGCGACCGTGTATCACCCAAGTCACGTATACAAGGCACCGTAAAACCATACTATAGACTAACGCTTAGTTTCTGAATATATAAAGTTGATAGAAACATAATTCCTTTTAAATTGAAAAGGAGCCCCAGTGAGATGGGAGATGGGAAATAATACAGTTCAGTGGCTGTGAGACTGACTTCAGCATATACGTATTTCAGTGGTCCTTGTCACTTATCCACTGTATGATTACCCTGGAAAGTATTTGCGACATTACGAATGCAATGTATGATCAGTATTTTCTCATATGACTACCAAAGAATCAGGAAGTACGTATACACACTTTGTATGAACTTTCATAAACAACAGGTCACAGAAAAGATGCAATTACGTTGAAATATTTATTCCTGTCAGAAGCACATCAATATATCATAGCACTTTATTCAGGACTTGTGACAAACACACAATCTATATACAATGCATTCCCCACATGGGTACAATGTGTGAAGCCCATTTCTGGTGTCCCCGCCGTGATATTGCTGGAATATTGCTAAAAGCGGCGTAAAACTAAACTCACTCACTCACTCACTATACACAGTGCTGTTGTAGTTTGGGAACAATAGACTCAGCACCTTACAGGGGGTAACTGGACGTCAGTTGTGTTTGACCATTGCCCATAATGTACAGTGATAGTCCAAAGAAAAGTTGCAATATACCCACCGGGGAGGTGGGGTAGCCTAGTGGTTAAAGCGTTCGCTCGTCACGCCGAATATCCGGGTTCGATTCCCCACAAGGTTGCTATGTGTGAAGCCCATTTCTGGTGTCTCCCGTTGTGATAGTCACTCACTCACTTGTGAGTGAGTGAGTGAGTGAGTGAGTGAGTAAGTGAAAACACTAACACTATGTTTCCACGTACGTAGCAGGAACTGAAGGTGAGGTCCTATCCCTAACACAATGAAACATGAATCTGTGTTGAAGGCCAAACACTTAAAAGTCAAGTCTCTCACAGTCCCTCAACCATATTAACCCCTTCGCCTAGACTAACATCAGACTAGTCTCTGAAATAAAAAGGTTTCACAGAAAAATGTCTAAAATTATTATCATAAAATATAATGAAAAGGAGCTCAGAGACTGTCTTCATAATCTGAAACTGGTAATCTAGACTTGCCACATATTGTAGACTGGCATAGGCCTTATTGGGTATATTTGTTTCAGGGGCTGTCTGACAGACTATCCTTATACTGTGGTGCTGTAGCCCACATATGATGCAAGTCTAGATTTGCACATTTGTGGAATCCTGAGAATCCTTCTTCACCTTAATTGTTGTTGTTGTGTTTTTGTATTTAAATTAAAATTGTATATTTTCTGTTGTCTGTTTAAACACACTTACGTACTAGTGTTGACATTAAACCTCGCTTGGTCACTTTACATACAGAACTATCTTCTTAAGTCTGATTTGTCCCGGACGTTATGTTCAAGTTATTTGTCCCCATAACAACAAAGCCCACTCGAGTATTTTATTTACATGAGTAAACAGCAACATAGGTTTGGGGTATATAGTGTCCAGGGTTATTGTCAAGGACTATATGCTTTCTGTATTTAGGATACACACCGACAGATATATATTTACACGTATACTGACAGAGCTGTTTATTAAGTTAGTCCTGAGTGCAGGACTTGCCCAAATGACACTGTACATAATACGGAGCGAGGAGGAGAGGGTGGGGTGCGGCTAGGAGTGTACATATATGTATGCCAACCATCCACGTTGTTGCGTACGATACGTCTTGTGGAGTTTGGCAAGATAGTGCTTTTAGTACTTTTTAGCATTTATAGGTGTGACGTTAGTGTCCAGTAGAATCCTGTCGGCCAGGCGAAGTCATCTTTTATATTGATGTGACCGATGGGTTCTCTTCTCTTCCTCTTCATCCTCCTCAATCTTCATCCTCCTGCTCTTCTTTCTTTTTCTTCCTCGTCTCCTCCTTCTTCTTCTTTCTCCTCCTCCTTCGTCTTCCTAGTCCTCCTTCCTCCTTCTTCTTTCTTCCTCTCGTCCTTCTTCTTCCTTCTTCTTTCTCC